ATGTATAAGGTGAGCTCAGGTTTCTTAAATGGTAGGTCATTTGCCTGGTGACAATTAGCTTGCAGTGTGAATGAGTTTCTGACTCTAGTGAATGAATCACCTTAGACTAGATTTTACAAGCAAGCTATGGGCTCTTTAAATTGGAGATATATTTTCATCTTAATGAGCCTATCATCCTGCCAACATTTTCCTGTGCTCAGATTCCCTTCCTGATAAGGTTTTTCAATGTTAAAAGTTCTTTTGATTTCTACTTGGAGCAGACTAAAGTCCTTAAAAGGTTTACTAGACTCTTTTATTTTCATTTGACATCTGCTCAATGGGCACTTTCGTCACAAAAGTGATCATGTCTAACTAGCTGTCCAACTGTATTTCTTACTATCATACTAAGAGCTGGCAGGGGCCTTTTTTACAGGAGGTCATATCATGGCTCATACTATCTGAGGCAGAAGTACTGCATTTGATAGCCTTAAGGGATATTCCAATTTATGACACATATAAGGAAACCACCCAGCCCTGCCTATAAACATATGAAGCATCTCAAGACCAGCCTGGTTTGGTCTCTTGATACTGCAGTACGTGGTTTCAAGGTGCCCAAACTCTCCTAGAGTTTTGTTTCTTTTAGAATTGTATATTTCTGAAAATTAACAGTTGAGAGCTGGCAACTCCTGGAGACTTTGTCTATTAACTCTTATTAGGCTCTTTTCATTTACAAAAAATAGTTTTTGTTAGACAGTGACTGCTTTTTGTTATATTTTATCATAGTTCTTTCTATATTGCAACATGCCTCTTCCCTCCCCCCGCAAACTCTACTTACTCTTAAGAGTGAGAATCCTGCACAGGTAAAGGACCTGGTTCTCATTTATACTAAGGCTTCTTTACACCATAGGAACACAGAAATTGCAGTACTGAATCTGAGACAAGGGTCATCTAATCCAGCATCCCATACCAGATGCTTCAAAGGAAGATGTAAGGACCCCACAGTTGGTACATGTAGGATAATCTGCCTCCCCCCCCCATGCACACACTAGGTTTCATCCTGATCATTAATAGTTAGAGATCATCTTAAACCTGAAGCATGAGGTTTAAACCCTGAAGCATTTGTATTGCTGTCTTCACCTGATTGCTGTGTCATATTTTTCTTGCTGTAAAAGAGTGTTCATGTTACTTTGCAGACAAGATTGCTTGAATTTGGACTGAACTATCTACTGCCATGGAAACAGAATAGTGTCTTGGGGGATACAAATGTGATGATTTCTCTGCTTTAATTTCATGTGGTATTATTCATTGAGGATATGATGGTGCTGGGGCAATTTCATGCTACAACGTGTGGGTTTGATTCTTGTCCTTCCTGGACTGTAAAAGACACCAGAAATAACTGGTTCCCTTATAAGGGATATTGTAAGTTTTTCTAGCAGGAAGAGGAGTGGAGGAGGGCACCTTTCCTTCAGTTTTTAAAGAAGCCATTGCAGGCCATATGCACAGTAAATTTACTTTTGGTGCTGATAATCTGTGTAACTCCCTACAAGCATCCCATCTCCCATTTTTGGTTAAAGTCACCAAAAAGATTATGTTGGGGCAATTTCTGGCAGTATCTTTATTCTTCAGACTTCCTTTGACCCTGGTCAGTCTGGTGACAGGTCTATATATGGGGTACAAACTGCATTGCTTGCATTTGTGTATGATCTGTGTGTGCATTAATTATGATCTTTTACTAGCAGCAGATGAAGGCACTGATGACTTTTGATCTGTTGGCAGCCTTTGATGCTGTTTATAATGCAATTTCATTTTTTTTATTTGTGGACAATCTTAGGATCCTGCTGTGATGCTTCCTGGGGGAGCCCAGGGTTGTGAGGCACCTTGCTACCACTTGCAAGAGGAAGCCCTGTCTGTCCCTGCCATGTGTCAGCTGCCTGATTCCACTGGCCACAGGCAACACAAGCACTCCCGTCTAGGCCTCGTAGGAGGCGCTGTCACTCTACAGGGTAGTGATAGGCACAGTCCAACATCTGAGCCCTCTGATCATCTCCCTGGAGTGCCCACCTCCTGTTTCATTGGACACTCAGCATTCACCAATATGCTGCTTCCAAAGAAACAGTTACAACCCTGCTTTCCACCTCAGGTCACCACTCCCCTTAACTCACAGCACTTAGATGTGTTTATGGTGAAATCAAGTATAAGTTTATTTAACAAATAATAGAGATTCAAGTAGTAGGAAGTAGAAATATTGGAAACAAATGATTATATGTAAAATAAAATCATAATACGCATTCTAGAGCCTTGTCTTAATTAACAAGATCCTCTCGTGTCTAGTAGGGTAGGCTATTGCCCACCAAAATCCTTGCAGTGCTTTACAGCCCGCCTGGCTGTGATTGTTCTTTCATGAGACAAATACACTGTCTGTTTGCCTTTTAGGTGAAGTAGTCATTGTATCTCTTTGTACTCCAAGATATACATCATAAACAGGACACCTCCTGCTGACTGTTTCTTCCTGTAGATTTCCTCTCTTCTATATTCCACAATCACTTAGTTGGCACATGGTTCAGTCTGGAAATAGCCATGCTGGGTGAAGTATGTAATACACCAGTGACCAGACAGGGAGATAGGTGTCTGCTACCCTCTGCCTGAATGGAACAGCTCTGAGGTGTGTCACCGCCTGGTGACCTGCCTTAACTCCAAGACCTTAAGAACATAATTTGCAATACAGATACATAACTCCTTAAATATCCATCCATACATTTAACAATCATTATGATGACCAGTGGGCTACCAGCTCTCAGTAGAGACTTCACATGCTACTCTCCAGTGAACTATTATGCAGATATCAGACCCAGGTGATTCCTGTAAAACCTTGTGCAACCCCAGCTCTCTTGGCGCCAAGGGACCTGAACCATACCAGCTACATTGCTATCTTTATGAGAGACATCAAATAGTAATTGTAAGCAATTATACTAATGCCACAGGAGTCAGGGACGTCATTTGAGAAAAGTTCAGAGGTCTGGGGGCATACTTGCTTCTCTCTCCCTGCCTCACCTGCTGTGGGGGGAGCAGGGAGGTGATGTGGGCAGACAGTGAGCCAGGGTGGGTGTCTCACCAATGGCTGACGCAGGGCTTGGATCAGGGCATGGCTTGTTCTGTGATTAGTTCTGGCCCAGACTGCTGCTTCCTGTGACAATGTAAGGATTAGGTGACCTACCCCAGCCTGCCCAACAGCACTCCCTGCAGGCTTGGGGGAGACACCACAGCCTGGCTACCAGGGAGCTATGAAAAGTTTGGGGTTGTGGGGGGCAACTGCTCCTACTGCTCCTTAGCAACTGATGCCCCCGAGAAGACTCCCCTACGTTGTCACCTCTCTTGTTCAAGTCGTACATGAGGCTGCTGGTTTGGTATGCGCTGCAGTATATTTAATATGATGATGACACGCAGCTCTTCATCTCTATCACATCTGACCCAGCTAGAATAGCTGAATGAAATCCACAGTGTCAACATGAATTTGGGATTGGATAAGAGCTAGCGGACTATGATTTAATTCAGACACGAGAGCGATAATGATGTTGTTGCTGCCACCTCTTTGCTGAATGGAAGCGTATTTTGGGGCTTTTTAGGCCGGTTTCCTGTTTGAAGCAGAAATCAGTGACACCAAGTAAAGTATTTTCATAGTTTATTTATTAACTGTACAAAGTCCCGTTTCCTTGAATAGAAATGGCAACAAACTTTAAACACAATTCTGTTTTTCAGAAATCTCTGGTAAAGTACCACTGACCTATCCCCTGAAGCAGTTGCCTTGAGCCTCTTTCCCTCTCCAGGAGTCTCACAAAACTGAGACACATCCTCCTTTTTATAAATTGAAAAATACTAATCTAGTAATAACCATGAATAAATCTCACTGCTCTCTGTTCACTCAGGGCCAGATTTTAAAGATATTTAGGCATCTAAAGATGCAAATAGGCACCTAATGAGATTTTCAAAAATGTCAAGACACCGTCCCATGGGACAAATATACAAAACTCTCATTGCCTTCAATGAGAGCAAAATTAGGTGAGTATTGAGCACTTTTGAAATTCCCACCCAAAGAGCTTGTCCTAACCATAATAGGGGGAGAGAGAGCATAGTCATTTTTGAAAAAGAGCTCTCAATCTAGTTTTTTTTCAATTATTATGTCATGTAGTGTTGCCAATTCTTGCAATTTTATCATGAGTCTCATGATACTTTTCTTAAATCCCCAGCTACTGGAAACCTCTGATTATGAGAAAATCTGTTTTCATTTAATCTCAGCTTTCATATTTGTAAAAAGTGAGTTTCTAGCCCTCTTGGATGAAGAGAAAAGCTTTAAAATATGACCTGAGTTCAGACAAAAAGTTCAAAAACCAAACGCAAATTGGAAAAAATCCAAAATGATTTATGTATTAATTAATAATCTGATTTTATGGCAGGAGTCTCATGATTATTTGATTTTTGGCAATACTTGTATTTTAACAGTGGTGCATTCAAATAGTTTCAGTTATATCATGTGCATTTTTTTTTTTTGCATTTCTTTGATTTTTGCAGCTGTTCTACATAAAAATAAAAAGACATTGCATCTTATATGCACTGTGGGCATTCAAATTTTAGTTAGCTAGATGAAATACCAGTAACAGTTAAGCAGTTGTTCCAATAAAAAATGTTCCTATATTCATGCTATATTTGTGGTTGCAGTCTCACTATAAGCAGGTCCAAAGTACAACACTTCTGTAAGCAGTGTTTCCTTTAGTTAGCTAGCTGATACTAAACTCACTGCATAAGGCCTCTTTCATTGTAGAGAGTTTTCTCTGTGTTTTCCCAAATACATGAAATTACAATGAACTCTTCTGAAAAAGTTACATTATTAATGTAAACTAATTTAGCAATTATATTTCATTTGGTAAATGTTAAACTTTTTCCATTCTAAGGCAAGCTTATTGAAATAATTTATTTGAAGAAAGTCAAATATGAAGATGGATTTCAAGTGTTTTATTTTGTTTTAGATTATTATGTCATGCAATGAAAGACCACATAGTGCGTGTTGCAAATGAGGCGGAGTTTATTTTGAACCGACAAAGAGCTGAAGATGTACACAAACATGCCGAATTTGAGGTAAGCTCAAGATTTGATGAATTCCTGCTTTTCTGTTTTCACTCAGCCATCACTTAGACTGTAACCTCATACAATAAAGTTTTTTTTTTTCCAAGAGAGAGAGAAATTTACATTGAAGGCATTTGAAAGCCAGTTTTTAAAAGCTTTGGTAAATGTCAAACACAAGGAACTAGTTTATCTTCTCATCCCTTCACTGAAATGCATGAAAATATTTACAGCTTGAAGAAACCCCTTAATCAGAATGCCTACTAACTTGATATGGCAGATCTTTAAGGTTCACAAAGAACTTGTCTGATTTTATTGCAAGTAGTAAAAAACAAACAACATTTAATAGTGAAATTATTTTTGCTGGATTTTATCAATAGAATGTGAGTTTTGTGTATAATAAATAAAACTAAAGGATAGCACACTTGAGGTGCTTTAAGAAAAATAATAAATATTGATCTGTAAATAGTATAGTATTTTCACTACCAATACCAATGCTTTCTAGTACTTTTTCATCTTATTTACCAGGTATAACTTATAAATTGGAAGATATTAAGTATCTTTTCTACTTGCTAAGCTAATAAGAATAAGTAATTACTGGAGATAGGATAATATATGAAATGTCTATTGTCTTTAATTTTGGAAGATGAAAAGCAGGAGCTGGATCCTGTAACTCTTACTAATGTGAATAATCCTTACTAACAGAAGTAGTACATAGTGAATCATTCATTCCTTCAGTAAGGAATGTAGCATATAACCCACTATAGTGTTTTAAAGTATTTTGTAGCAAAATACTGTACAAATATTAAAGACTATTTTAAAAAGTGTATTTAAATGAATGTTTGAACTTTTTTTCCCTTTGTTTACATAGAATTACTCATTTTCCTGTTTAAACATATCTTTTGATATATTTAAGAACTTTTGATACAACAATGTTAAAAATCTTTTTGTTTAACATGGTTTTATCAGGCAGTATGTTTTGATATTAAAAAAGCTTATCTATGATATTTCAATATATAGACATTTTGATTATTTCTGTTTTTGCCTATGTGTATATGTTTGTGTGTGTATATGCTCATATATAAAATACCGTAAAAAAAAAAAAAGCATGTTTTAATGTTTGGGTAGCATGGCATTAGAATTAGGTTTGATTGATTTGGTAGCCTTGAAGATAATAAATAGCTGTATGAACATATTCATCTGTCAGGGAATGCCAACAAGCACCTTTTGGCAAGACATAGAAGCCAGTAATCTCAATTTTGATGAGGTTTTTATCTCATCGAAGCAGCTCTCTAAAACCTACACTTTGATGTACTAGTTCTTGTGCTCCTTGACCTAGCAGAAAAATATAAGACACAGAGATATCTTGTTGTCATTTTGAATACATATAACCTTTACTTCATTTTGTCAGGCCAGACAGCAGACACTTGTCAGATGGGATTGCAACAACTTTATTACCAAACATATACTGGATATTTTGAGCTTAGATAAAATCACATTTACAATTAAGTGTATGTCAGAGTGAAGTTTCATATTGCCTCAACAATAAATAACATTTGATATTTATCAGGGCATCATACAGTAACCTAAAATGACAATAGAAGATTGAGTTATCTGCTCTTTGAAGAATATGTTAAGGTATAAGATCTGACAGAACTCTAGACAAAATGAGAAAATTCAATTAACTTTCAGCTTCTGTTAGCAAACAAGATTTAGAATATTAACTAAATTCCCTAAAGGAACAGCCTTAAGTCAATCTTATTTTCTAGTAAGGAAACCAAGACATTTCTCTCTAACATTTTTTATTATACTTATTGTCTTGTGAAAAACCTGAGAAATATGTTTGAAATGGACAAGAAAAAAATCTCTAAGTAAATAAAATAAAAAAATTAAATGTAATCATGTACCAGTATGAATCTTAGATATAACTAAAATAAAATGGTGCTTAGAGTCTGAAACAGTTTTACATATTGATGTTGTAATAATGTTCCATAGGCATCATATCATATTAGCATGCATCCCACTTAAAAGATGTGTGAAAGTTTTTTACTATCTACTGTATTTTAAATTATAAATCAGTTTTATTTTATTAAACAATATTTAAATGTATTTATTTTGTAAATATTTGATTATTTTGAGCGGGCTAATTATTGTTCACTGCAGGAAAAAAGTGAATAGGTATTTTACCAGTCAAGTAATCACACTTTTACCTCTCAGACTTCAATTGTATCATTACTGATGCAACTATTTGACTAAAGTTATATAGTGACACAGTGTGGGTGCATGTGGGTGTGTAGATGTAAGCATAAGGTTTGTAAAGTTAACACTAGTCAATTTTGTCTTATGACTAAGGCTATTATTGAAAGAGTCCAGTTTTTCCAGAATGATTGCTTCCAGTTAACATTCATTTTGTTAGCCTCTGTAATTGTTCAGGAAGAAAAATGAAAATTTAATTTTACTGTCCAATGAGCTGGTGAAATATTAACCTCATTACTGAGGCAGATCATTGTACTAATTGGTGCTTCCCTGTACATGAAGATAAATTGAAAAAATGAATTAACCCCTTGAAAGTAATGTAATTCCTGTCTGAAATAGATGCCTTTCAGTAATAGTTTTAAATACAGTAGATGAAGGACATAGTTAAAATCTTACCAAGTACTGCCATTTTCTATAATAAAAACACTAGTCTATAGAAGTATGCACACCTGAATTCATGAAATGCAATAAGATGTCTCCAGTACAATGTTAGCTTAATTGCAACTGCTGGTATAATAAATATTATATAGTATTTTGTTTAGGTAGTATTAAATCTTTGTTGAATTTGTTCTAAAATGGGAAACAATCAATTGTTATGGAATGCATAAACTTAAGAACACCTAATTCAAAATGCAGGATTTTATTCAGAAATGATAATTGCACGCACACACATTAAATAACCAACACAATTTATCCAAAATAATTTGAGAATAATGTAGTTTTTTATGATATATCTCTGTAAGAAAACTGTGATATTGTTTTTTTTTAATTGCCATAGACACGTTTGCCCTATTCAGACTTTTCAAACAGATCCCTACTAAAAGGAGTATTGAGAATTTGAATGCAGTCTCTTTTTGAGACTAAAGTAGAGAAATGTATAATTCTGTATGCTACAAAGAGAACAAAGGCATTAGAAGATAGAAACTAAAGTTAACAGTGTTTCGATAATGGAATCTTTTTCACAATCAGTCTATAACGGAAACGGCAGTAATTGTTGAAATTCCTTGAGAGATGGATTTTGAAAGCAACATGATCAAATAATTATTTCTAGCTTTGTTTTTAGTTTCAAGTATTTCTGATAGATTTTTTAATCCCTTTTCACTTTTTCCAACTGTTTTTACTTGTATGTAATTTGTGGTGTTTTTTCCATGTTGTAACATATAGAGATTAAGGAAATAGACATTTAATTTCAAAGGTAATGGAGATCCACTTTAAGATCCATAATTATAAAAGTACGGAACTTGTGAACTGTTAAGATCTTGTTTTGTAGATCTTACTAAGACTTAAAAGTCAAGCTAAGTCTGTCTGGTACAGTGTTGTAGCTTTCTGTATGCAATATTGAATAAGAAATTCCAGAGTATAATGTATTGTATAAGGTATTAATTGGCAAATAATTTATAATGATCTAAAAAAGAGGCCATATTTTAAGACATAAGCAAAAAGAGGCAGAGTTACGTGTGTTTTCACTGTAATTATGCATTTCCTCACATTTGATGGCTTAATTTCTAAACCTTAACATAGCATTAATCCTCTTATTTTCCCCTGGAGGAGGGATCAACACAACCAGTGCAAGTAAGGAGTATAAAAATGGATATTGTGTTTCTGTTTAGACTTTATATTTCTGTGAATGGTAAGGTCCTTCTTATTTACCTAGAAATGCTGAGTTTGGTGAGAACAAAGGTGACTAAGATGTAGGTAGAAAGGAGAATTTAGATATATGAAAATCACTCCTAAGCAACTTGTAGGCACTTCCTAAATTATTCTATTTACTATTCACTTTTTTTTTTTTTCATTTTTAGTCACAGTGTGCTCAATATGCTGCTGATAGAAGAGAGGAAGAAAAGATGTGTGACCATCTTATAAGTGCTGCTAAACATCGCGATCATGTTACAGCCAATCAGCTGAAACAGAAGATACTGAATATCCTAACAAACAAACATGGTGCGTGGGGAGCAGTCTCTCACAGGTACGCTGTAATCATAAATGTGTAATTAATTATAAACATTTGTTTCAAAATTTAAAATGAATCAGCCATTTTCGTACAATTGAAAATTGGATGTGCTGATGGTGGGAATCATTTCAAGAGAACTTTTGTCTTCTTTATATCTTTTTTTTCCCCCCCTCAAAAGTCTTCCTGTGGGGCGATTCCTCTTCTAGTACATGATGTGCAGATGCAATGCTCTCCATAGCCCATCAACACAGTATTTTATTAAAATTTGTTTTAGATAATTTGTAGATACTTATGCTTGTTCATCATGTAGCACTATTATTTGTATTCCAGTAGGGTCTAGAGGCCCCAACCAGGATAGGGCTAGCTGCTGTATGAACAGGTAGTGAGAGAGAGTCCCAGTCCCAAAGACATTACAATGTAAATAGAAAAGAGAGATGAACGGTGGGAGGAGGCACAGAGAGGAAAAATGACTTGTTTAAGCTTGCATGGAAGGTCAGTGGTAGAACAAGGAATAGAACCCAGCTCACCTGTCTAGTGCCCTATCTATTAAACTATTTCTGTATAAATAATCAATATATACTTTGATACAATACATTGGTAAATCTTTATCCTCACATTCAAACATAAAGGTCAATACCTAGTGTGTGCAACCAAACTCTGCAGGCACAAGTCACACATATGCACATGTGTATCCAAGCGTATCTCATGCCCAAGTTGGGTGTGAGAAAAGTGCATGCTCACTTCTGCAGACATATTTTGAAAATTTGGTTCAAAATATAATAGTACTAAATTATCTGTTCTTTAATTGACAATACAGTAAATGAGATTCTAATATATGTTCTAGGGACTTAGAGTTAAGCCTCATTAGAATATTATATAACCATAAATATTAAGGTATCTAATAAATACTGTGTATATTATTCTCACCCTATTGTCACTATGTTTGCATGTGTATCATTTATTTTCAAGTACATAATGGAGGAATCAACACAACCAGTGCAAGTAAGAAATAAAAAAACAGATGTTGCATTTCTATTTAGACTTAATATTTCTGTGAATGGGAAGGTGCTTCCTATTTAACTAAAAATGCCGACTTTAGTGAGAACAATATACAGCAGTTTATATTTTTTAAAAAGTAAGGTGTAATTTTGGGCTTATTGACCTTACGTTTTCCTTTAAGTTCCCTGCTCAAAATGAGGTGGGTTTCAATTCTGTTGAGTTCTGTGAAAAGCAACTCAAGTTGATGATGTTACAAATCTGAGCTGATGCTGTTTGCACAGCTGTAGGCCACCATCTCCACAAGCCATGAGACAGTTGTCTTCTTGGAAGTGATGGGTGATCTACCATTTCCTCCTGGGGCCAAATAGCCTCTCTCCTGGGTTTTGGCGTGGAGACGTGGTTGCTCCCCTAATCTACAGTTTTAGGTTTACCAGGTAAGGGTCACTGCCCCTCCCTCAAAGCCGTAATAGTCACTGGGGAACCAGGAGGGGCTTGACACCTCCCAGTCTGGCAGCAGGTACGGGAAAATGTTCCACTGCCAGTGCCTGTATAGTGACTGCAGGGGCATAGAAATCTCCATAAGACTTTACATGGTAGCAAGGGACTCCACAAATATACTCTGTAGCTGCCACGGGCTAACTGGCATGCCAGGTAATTCCTAATAGAAAGTTGCTAGGGAATACTTAGGGGTTCCTTAGCTACCATAATATGGTTTATAGGATGTCTAGACCTGTGTTGTCAGTGTAGCATTTCAAATGGCAAAAGTTTTTCCTCAGTTCCCAATGCAGAATGAAAAACTTATTTCCTGAAGATCTTTTGTATTTGAAAGAGGCCCTGACACTACACATAGGGAGTAGGCAATTGGCCCAAGAAGGAACATGTGAAAGAAACCTGTCCACTGGTTCCACACAATAAAACTTATGGAAGATCCAAGAGGTTTGGCATCTAGATGCGTAAGGAAGTACTTTTAAGGAGTGGGTATGATTCCTGGAAGCTTGGATTCTCTAGAACCAAGCTAGCCTCATGTTTAGTATGTATAATACATGTCCAAAGACTATTTTAAAGGTCTTTAGCACAAATGTTTTTGGTATGAAAGTAAGATCTGGTTTCATGGTGTGTGTCACAGATGTAGAATAGATACAAGTTTTATTGTGTTTGGAATCCAATATAATAAATTCTTCTTACCTTACATCTTCTCAGTTTTTGTACCCCTGCATATGCTGCCTTTGGAGAAAGCAACCACCAATCGTTGATATGCTTACTCTTGGGTTGCCAGAGTGTTAGCGGTCTGTTTTTTTGATAATAGAACACAGAATGAGGTTGAATACTGGAAGCACCATGAGGAAAAATGTGAACAATGAATGACTATTGTCTTAGGATTCAGAAAGGGCAGACAAGATTTCCAAAGAATAGGATAAGAAAAGACTAGACAAATTGCTTTTGAAGTTTGATGCTTCAAGATTGAGTGAACTTTTGTAGTATTTACAAAGTCTGAATTTTGAATATATTAACATAATCTGTCTTTGAAAGGTCTGAAAAACAAGAATAAGTATGGATAAACTCAATAATATGCCACATAAAACATTTCAGTTATGCTAATTGCACTCTACAAAGAGTAGACCATGATTAGCATTAAAAGTAGCCATAAAATCAGAAGTGAGTTGCAGTTCAGATTACCTTTTGCATAGCTTCTTACTGTAGGCAACTTACATTAGTAAGCATTTACTTGACTACTCCACTAGAGAGAATAAGTTCCCACAAGCATGGATAAGGATTATGTAACCTAGCACTGCTGGTCTGAAAACTAATTTACTCAACAATACCTTTCTGCTTTACCTATATGAGAGAAATAATATGTTTTTTGGAAATCATTTATATTATATTGTTTAACGCCTCTTCAAGGCTGTAAGTAATATTTAAGTATCAATTTTATCTTTTTCCACTTCACAAATAGATGTTTTTAACTCCAGTTTTAGTATAGGCAAAATTATTTTGTTTCCTTCCGTACTGGTATATTGACAAACTCCATTGCATCAAAAGGAAAGTATTGTAGGATCATGAATAAATAGCATTTGTTTGGTTTTTTTCTTTACATTTCCCTGCCACAAAATAGTAGATTTTTTTTAATAAGAATCTATTCAGTGTTTTATTATACCTTCTATTTGTAGCTTTAAAAAAAAAAGGTTACTGCTTTTCCTCAGGTGTGGTGAGTTTACTTTCAGGTATGTTCATCATGGCGGATCCAGAGCATATGAAGAACTCTAGGTTCAAGTTATGGTCTAAATGTTGACGTTAAATATCCATCAGAGGTGTTTTGAAAGTAGCTGTTTGATGTTCTCATGGGGATTGCAGTAATGAGAAAGTAGTCATTTAAAAAAAGAGTTCAGAAAATCAATTTGTTTGAAGCTGACCTCTACCTAGATTTAACAGACTTTACTAGGTAATACATACACAAACTGGATTTAGGCTTTTTTCTATTTACAACCACCTTTGGTAATCTTGGATACCAGACACATATTAATCATTAATGCTGTAAGGCAGGATTGTCAGACTTGTTCTGTAGTGAGGACCACATTACCTTTTCACTTAGGAGCTACAGGAGAAAAGTATTCCCTGACAAGAGGCTAATTTTAGTCCTCTCTGGCCGCAGAATGTGCCTCCCTAGAGATCAGAGTTAAATAAAGCAAATAAAGACAATTACTACATTTTGTGGAACCTCTCTTCTTCAGTCCATTAATGCAGCACTAGGGCTGTTCATCCTCCCAAGTCTACTCTCTTTCTCTCTCTCTCGCACCCACACACTCACCTTCTTTTCTCTGCTCATTGGCATCCTCTCCCACTTTCTCAACCTCCCTGTTCCTCCCTTTTCTCTCTTCCTCCCTCTTCCCCTGGGGCATTCCCCTCTGAGTGCTTGTTCATTGGAAGGGGAAGGGCTGAGGGAGGGAAGCTCTTCTCTGAACCTGTGGGACTTGGCAATTACAGAAGCAGGAGGAAGATGATTTAAAGATTCCTCCTCTGAGCCAGATATTGATGGCTCACAGCAAGAGGGACTGGAACGCAGAGAAAAGGCAGGGGATGGTCGGGGAAGGAACCTTCCGTAAACTCAGGCCTGGTCTACACTAACACCCCAATTCGATCTAAGGTACGCAACTTCAGCTACGTGAATAACGTAGCTGAAGTCGACATACCTTAGTTCGAACTTACTGCGGTTCAGACGCAGTCCACACGCGGCAGGCAGGCTCCCCGTCGACTCCGCGGTACTCCTCTCGCCGAGCTGGAGTACCGCAGTTGACGGCGAGCACTTCCGGGATCGATTTATCGCGTCCAGACCAGACGCGATAAATCGAACCCGGAAGTTCGATTTCCAGCCGTCGAACTAACGGGTAAGTATAGACCAGCCCTCAGGCTCTGAGGCATTCCGGCACTGTCACCACCTGTGTGGCTGTTACCAAGGGGAAAGACAGGAACACCGAAGTGCCTGTGCCTAACCCTGCTCAAGCTCTCTCCTAAACTTCACCCACTTCAGCGGCAGCTCCTTCCCAGCCCTTCTAACTTGAGCAGGGAGCCAGATGTGATCCTGATCCATTTGTTAATTGCAGAGGGAGCTGCAGACTAGAAGAAACGGTTCTGGAGCCAGATCCAGCCCTCATGAATCTCTTGGCTTTTATGGAACATATGATGCTGCAGATTTTGCAGATAATTCAGCAACTACTCCAGTGACAGGAACATACTATTTTGGATTGCATAACTTGGACCTAACCCTAGAGATTCAAGCCAAGAACTTGAGGTCTTTTGGAGGAAAGATCCAAATTTTTAGTTCTAGAACTGATTCTATCATAGCAAAAAGATAAAGACACACTTTTTCTCCTTTTCACCTTTCATCTAACATAATGGGATTGGATCATTCTCATCATAAAAATATGAGATCAGCATATATCACGTGGGCGTCAGTCCTGGCAGTTCCAGTATTTCTTAGTTTATTTCTAGCTTCCTTTCAGAATGCTAATTCCTTCATT